CGGTCAGGGGACAAGGAGCAGGGGGGGTTGGATGGGTCAGAGGTTCTGAGAGGGGCAGTCAGGGGGCGGGAAGTGGGAGGGGGCTGTTACGGCCCTCCATACAGTTTTGCAACCCCAATGTGGCCCTCGGGCCAAAAAGTTTGCCCACCCCTGTTCTAGACCAACTCCAGCCCGAGCAGGAAATCTACACTGCTATTTTTAGCCCTGCAGCCCAAGCCTCACGGTGAGACTCAGCGTTGTGGGTCTTTTACTGCAATGTAGACACACCCTGTAAGACCCAGGCTTGTGGACTTGGTGCTTCCAAGCCGTGCTTGAGCATCCGTGCCGCATTGTAAACCTGGGCTAGCAATTGCTGGACCTGGGTCTCGCTGCCGCGCCAACACGTCCGTATTGCACTACGTAGACCATCTGACTGGGGTCTGTGGCTTGACCTGTTTCCACACTGCAAAATGATAGGGCTTGGACCCAAGTCACAGCAGGACTTGGGCTCTGACCCACCGCCCTGGCAGAGTCCTAGCACCTGGGTCCTGAGTACTTGCTGATCCGAGTCAGACTGATGTGTGTGTGGATGGAAGAGGGGCTTGGGCTCAAATCTGAGTCAGAGCCCGGGCTTCATGTGCTGTGTAGACACAACCTGAATCGCCAGCTCCCTCCAGTCCCACACCCTCTCAGCCAAGCTCCCTCCAGTCCCACTCTCTCCCGCCAGCTCCCTCCAGACCCACTCCCTCTCAGCCAAGCGTGGAGACACATCCTGCCTTGGATTGAAGCTGGTGAGGGTGAGATGAGGGTCAGCGAGCGTGCACCTGTGTGCATCCAGATGCCCACACACCAGCACTATTATTTTATTAAATAAGGGAGAAATGATCCACTCCAGCTGTCAGACCGGTTCCCTGGCATGTAGAGGTGTGTGGCACCCCAGGGTCTCCACTCCCACCTAGCGTAATGGCAGGAAAAATCAGGAGTTCTTACTCGCTTAGTTTCAGGTACCAGGTCGTCCTTCATCCTTCTTTTGGTCCAGTCCTTGGCCAGTTCGTCCTCAGCTATCTCCTGCAGGTGGAAGACCGCTACTTGGGCTGATGTGCGCCGGATTCTACCACTAGGAGTCCTTTCAAAATCTTCTACTGGGCTGGCCTCTGGCTTCACCTTTGGCTCCTCGGGAGGCTGAAATATGGAAAGGATTAGGAAAGAGAATGGCTAACAGCTGTGAGAGGAAAGCCTTCTTATCACTGGTGCAGGGAAGTTCAGATCTTGCCTTTGGAAGCTTTCAGGGCCTGCGTGTTTGTACGCCAGCTTTGGCACACACCGCTGACTGCACTGCATGTTGCAAATGAACCGTCACACACCGGTAAGTTTTGGGCTTGCAAAACACTAAGGGCCCTTTCCCAGGCCTTCTCCGCAAACATGCAAAGTTAGAGGCTGGAGGCTGCAAATCTGGCCCTCCAACTGGAGTGACGCTTCCTTCTTAACCGAGCTAGAAGTCTAACGTCTTTAGTGAGATGGTCTTTTAACCCTAGCCGGGTTCCCATGTATATTAATGTCTCAGTCTGAGCAAGTTACAGCAGTGAGTGACTGTCCCATCAGTAGAGTTCAACAAAATGTATGAAACACTGACTAAGTGTACGCCTACACTGGAGCTGGAGGTGTAATTTCTAGCTCACGTGGATCTCATCAAGCCAGTGCGCTAAAAATTGCCATGTAGACACATTGGTGCAGGCGGTGGGATAGGCTGGGTGAGTACAATCCCGCCCGGGGCCCTAGCTAGCCCGCGCCGCCGCTACACTTCTACTGTTAGCACACTAGCTTGCTCACCGATAGCATGTCTACGTGGAGCTAAGATGGAAGTTACACCTCCAGCTCCAGTATAGAGAGACCCTCCGAAGTCAGTTCTACCAGCCTTACTCACACTGACCAGCAGTCACTCACAAGAACAGCCTCCACTGGGGACTCTCTTCGGGTTTGTGATGGGGCGGGTTCATGCCCTATCAGAGGATAGTTTCACGTTCACATTACATGCCCGGCTGAACATTGAAATGGGCAGTGAGACGTGTGTACACAACAGCAGAGAATTGAAGCTTCATTTGACCCTCGTTGTTCCACTCCGGAACTTTTCTCCTCATCTGTCTCAAAACTCCAAGATAGTGTTTAAAGAAGTCAGGGACAGCTTGGCCCCATTGTAATGAGAGTTTCCTGCTGCCCTATGAACATAACATGGGCTTTGGGGGTTTGCTGCACCTACCGCACTATCTGCTTAAGTGAACAGAGACACAAGCTTTAACAATCAGCCTTGCTCTTGAATCTCACCGAAGAAGTGTGCTCCGACCGCACGTGGTAGTCATGTCCCGCCTTGGATTTATACTTCTTCCTGCAATGTGGGCAGGTGAATATGGGCTTCTCCACTTCGGAGGGCTGCTTCCCACACCGTTTCTGGTGGTACTGGTACCCCATCAGACTGGAAAAGTTGGCTGTGCAACCCTATGGAGATGGGAACAAGAGAGGGTTAGATGGTGCATTCACTGTACATACATGCAAACAGGCGGAAAGGATCATAGCACCATCACTCCAACATTTCAAGGAGGAACACATCAGTACCATCTACCATGCTGTTCTGCACCTCCACGGCATGGCCCCTAGACTTCCCCATTTAACTCCTGTGGGAGCTGCGAACCACAGGGCAGCTGCACCATCCCGGCAACCTCTCTCCAACTAGTCTGGGAGGTGTCTTATCACGGCCTTCATTTTGCGCAAGGATGTTGTGCCCCAAACCCATTCTGCTTGTTGCCCTGGGAATGGAGCAGACGTTCTTCACTTTCTGGGGAATCTGTCCTAGTTTACTTCCCTAAGATTTCAGCTCTGCCAGCTGGTGCGCTCCACCTCCCATACCATTTTGTACCATCCACCAACCCCGTCAAAGGCACAATTCTGAGACTTGGGTTCAGAGCAACCCGAGCTCTCCGCTTGTTTAGAGCACGCACAAGTAAATGGAAAGGCACCTGACCCCGGCCTGCCCAATGGACACGTTCATTCCAAAATAGCCTAAAAAAATTACATTTAGCCTCAGACACGGAGAAATAGAGGGAGGAGACCAGTCTGGGCTTGACTTGTGCCCCCTTGCAGCACTTCAGCACCCAGGTGCGAGGATTCTCAGAAACACGTATGACAGACAGGCTGAAAAGTGTACATCTTGGGGCGGAAAGAACTGCTGCATGTGGGACCAACCTGGCAAACCCTTCACAGCCAGTTATTTTGCCCCTTTACCTGTTCCCAACGTGTCTGCAAATAGTTCACCGTACATGTAATTGCAGCTATTCACTGAAGAACTTCAGTGAATAATTCTTGCCCCGGAGCTTGCTTGTGAGCAGTTCATTGGTCGCAAGTATTCAAAATTCCCACTGGATGGGTCAGATACGATTGGACATGCTGGCCCATATGTGTTATGTTTCTGTTCCCTGATTGGAGGGGTATTCGGGGCAGATACTTGAGTTTACCAGTTGGGAATTCCCCTTCTGTGAATATTCCTCAACCTCCCTGTTTCCGTGATCATTCCTGCCAGGAACTGACACAGAGGGCACCCCCCACCCCAGGGAGAACTGAGCTGCGGTGAATTCATTTTAAAACGCCCACAGTCACAGAGACGTCTCTGGCCGCCTCGGTATCTGGGCTCTTTATTCCTTTCATCCTTTTGCAGAACGATAAATAGGAATTGTTCTTATACCTCGTTGGGGCATTTCAGTTTCCCCATCTGCTTTAGCACTTTCCTCAGCCTTTCCCGCTCTTCCTGTTCACCAACTCCAGCGGTTTCCACAGGACCAGGCTGGAAACAAGGAAGTAACAGAAGCGACAGAGTCAGCCATTCACTCGTGTCCTCTGTGCCCTGAGTGCTGTCTCAGACTTCGCCCTCACAAGGAATTACTCTCTCTGAACTCTTAGAGGAGAGTCTTGGGTTAAAATTTATGGGCTGGATTTTCCATAGTTTCAATGCCCTTGAAACCGCTTGCTTAATTTGCCCATACAATTAGCATGTGTTTGCATGCAAACGGCTAATTTGAAAATACATATGCAACTCATAAGTGAAAAAATCTGCTTTTACTATAGACCACAGGAGACGGATTCACAACAAAAACGCAATATGGAATTGGTAAATTCAGGACATACAGAAAATACAGCTATGCCTTGCCCTGGTCTCCCAGAAACATACAGGACCAGATTTTTAAGAGCGGCCTCAAAAAGTTTGTGCCTGCCAGCTTTTGTGTGCACAGAGAAGTTCTTGTGCAAACCCCACATTTGCATGTCCGAGGTAGACTTCGTTGCATGCCCTGTGGGGGGTTAAATGCCCAATTATGTGATTCCTGTAAGTAACTACCCATTTCCCAGGGTTTTGCAAGCCCAATTTTGGAGGCAGAGTTTAGGCACTTTGAAAATTTGGCTCCACAATTTTGCAGTTTTAGTCTTTTCTGGTCACGCTACGACGCGCGGAGTCCAGTGGGTGTCCATGCTGTATATGTGGATATACGCTGTGTGTTAAGGCCTGACAGTGCGCAGTACAGGGAAATCAGGGCATGTTGCAGATCTGGATTGAGGTACACGTCGGGAGCTGTGTGTGGGATGCTGGAAAGCCAGTGCTTCCAGTCCTTTGTTTCCATAAGCACCAAATTCACCATTTAAAAAAAAGAAGAAGAATTGTTTCTTTATTCACCTTCTTCACCTGCATCTCCCGGAGAGAGAGAGAGATAGAAAAGTGGAGATCAGTGCGTGCTCCGGGAAGCCTTACCTTGTTGACATGCTCAGCCATGGTGTGATAGTTGAGCCCGGCTTTGGACTTGAACTGCTTTTTGCAGTGTTGACATTTCAAAGCGTCCTGCAGCTGAACAGATGAAAGGAGAGTCACCGTGCCGGCCATTTCATTTTTGATTTCCCAATGAGCGCATTCTGCCTCAACCCAACAGGGAACACTTGATGTAGGCCCCGCAAGATGACAGTTTGAAAGCTACTGACTAATGCTGGCCCTGAACCAGACCCTTAGATCAGAACCCCAGCCCTGGGACCTAGTCTGAGCCGGCAGCTTTATCCTCTCTCTCCAATGCACCAAAGGTGGATTTCTAATCCTCATGCCCCAAACTTTGGAGAAGTTTGATTTCAGGCCTGGATTTTCAACCCCCCAGACTTGGGGTCTCAGTTCAGCTCATTAGAGGGATACAAAACGTAGCTCTACTGGTCTCGTAGAGACTGCCCTCTGCAGACATCTGTAATCATGGATGAGTCCTGGAATGTGATATACTCCCCTCTGCTACTGGACTGTCCAAAACTGAAGAACTATTTGAAAATGTCACCGAGATTTCATCAGCAGAATAGTTTCATGAGACGATTACTCTGCCATATGACCCCTGACTCTGCATTACATGTGGCTTGTTAAAAAATGCAATGAACACGAGCTTCTCTGCATTGCAACTGCTAACCTGCTGATGGACAAGCAGAATTTACAAAGCAATTAAGTACATATGGACTTCCACTGAGGTGAATATCAAGATCTATCGACCCCAGAGGCAAATACGCACCACCGTGAACCAAGAGACAGTAAGTCTAGATAGCCACCCAAATGAAAAGTCAATGCATGTCATGGTTCCAGTCGTTCAAACAGCTAGCCATCTAACTGTATAAAGTGCAGGGGGATTACCCAGTAGCAAAACACCAGCTCCTAAACCCCCTCCCTTCCTGGCTACTGGCATAGTGCCCAGGAGATCTCTGGCTGCCATATCAGGCCCTTGTGGCTACTGGAAATTGATTCAAGTCAGAGCAGGCCCAATCTACACTGGGGACCAGGTGGGCCCACAGCTGGCTAGGATCGGGAGAGCAGAAAGCTGCTTTCGCACTCCCACCCTGAGCTGAACTCCTCCGCCACAGCGGAGGATCTGGGTCTATAATTCCATCGCGGGAGATTTTCCGACATCGGAAACCACGAAGAAGAGCCCTATGTAAGGTCAAAACTTCCAGCAACAGAAGTTAGTCCAATAAAAGATATTGCCCAACCCCTCCCCCTCGTCTCTAAAATATCCTGGGACCCACATGGCTCCAACACGGCTGCAAATCATAAACCATGGCTAACTCACGCCCAAATCGACAGATTAAATTCTGCCAGAAGTGATGGGAGCGCCAGCTATGGGCTAGCAGCGAGCACCACAGGACGGTGCCCCTCTGAACGGCCCAGCAGGCAGCGAGGGACCCAGCTACCTGATCTGCACAGCCACATGCTTGTTTACACGCAGAAAGGCAAGTTTTACTGCCCTCACATGGATGCACACCTCAAGCAGGCTGGCCGGTGTCATGGCCCTTTATGTTACCCACTGGTCTAGGGAGACCTTCACAAAGCACACTGTAAATGTAACAGAGAATGGATGAAATCCGGACGCCACTGAGAGTTTTGCAATTGACTTCAACGGAGCCAGTGGTCGGAACTGATCCTATGTCATCTTTCTCTTAGAAGGGATTTATTTCTAACCCACCAGGAGCCTGACGAAGATGGAATCGGTTGGTCTGATCGATGCTGACGCAGAGGAGAGTCAGTTTTTCACGGTACCATTACTGACCAACAGCCACTTTGACAGACTTACTAAACACACCTCGTTGCCCCAAAGTCTGGCCTCAGTAGGACACATATCAATGCATATGCATGCAGCAGGGGTGTTACACAGCTGTAACTGAGGGCTGTGTCCAGACAATCAGAAAACAGCTTATGCAAAAATGTACTGGACCAGTTTCGTAAAAACTTTTGGGGCACCTTTATGTGTGTAATTACTGCAACTGTGTGTCCAAACTGGGGATTTGCCTGGAAAAACCGTTGCAATTATCCAACGTGTGCACTCAAGGGCAGTACCTGCACACACAAATTAGGCACAAACGCTGCGGGTGCAGTCGCATGCCTAAACAGTTTGAAAAGCGGGCACCCATCTTATGTTTTAAACGTTGTTTTTTCAGAGACTGAAGATTAGCGGGCCACATTTCAATACAGAGATGCTCTCATCCACACCTCCACTTGTGTTCATTATCCAGGGAACCACCTCCACCCCTTGACAATGCCTAAGGTCTCCTGTGGTCACAATATCCCACGTGGAAAAGTCGTAGTACAGAGGCACTGAGTGTGTGTTTGCCTTATTTTAAATACAATTTAAATCCAGATGGGGTGTTTTTCTGAGAGATGTGCGCGACCACAACCACAAGTTATTGGGCTCCATGCACGAATGTCCCATGGTGAAACTCCTTGTGTTACGCAGGAGGTCAGATTAGATGATCTCCATGGGCATGTCTGGCCTTAAAAATCTATTAATTTAGCAGCTGGAAATGAAGGCGGAGAAGCCAGCCTAAAGTGCCTAGTCAGCTCGCTGGAGACAACCAGTAGGTGTCCCACAGCTTGAGGTTTAGCGAGCACCAATATCAGTTAGGCTACGTCTACACTACCCGCCTGAATCCGCGGGGGGAAATAGATATCTTGGGGGGCGTATTTTTGCATCCTTTCGCGACCCGGCCAATACTTCCCAT